ATCTATCTGTTCATTTACCTTTTTCTTATTTCTTCTTTTTTTAGAGTAACTTACTTTATTCTCTGACATATTTGTTATTTACTAGTTTATTTTTGTTAGTACTAGTATGTATATCTTTTTCTTCATGCTAATTTTTTTCTCATGTTATTTTTCTTTATTTATTCATCTCTTTCTTTTATTTCTGGTATCTTGTGATCTGTCCTAATGAGGCTCTTAAGATCAGCCGAATCATATGAAAATATCTTCCTTTTAAAATTAATAATTGTTACACTTTAAAGATTAAAATCATGTTGTTTTTTTTTAGAAAATAAAATTCATAAAATATATCACACTGATTTTATTAATAAGAATAGTATAGACTTTTATTTATTAAACTACATGATGGATACTGTGCGTCATGGATACTTGATCGAATGATGTGCTATTTGAAAGCCCTATTTTCGACCACTTTATCGAATTGGACAGTCCGTCAATAAAGCCCCGAATGTCAACTTCCTATAGCCTAGTCAACTTCTGATTGAAGTAGCCGTTCAACCAAACATCAACTTCATCATTTACCAATGATGTTTCCAGGAAATTTACCAAATGATCGATGCATGTAAATACAGACTGCAAAACACTTCATCAATTGGAGAGCTCCTGTTGCTGTGCAAGAAGATGTGTCGTCTTAGTTAATTGTCGTCTTAATTCAAGATTTCAGGAACTCTTATAAGCCTCTATTGTTACTCTTTTCGCCTAACGCTTACTGGATGAATGTCATCAAGTTGATTGTGCGTGGTACGAAACCCTCCAACAGACGCCGCTTCTTATATTTCTTAAACTCAACGAAGATTATCGAAATACATTTACTAGTGTTGTTCTAGACTATCTTTTCATGGAGAAATAACAATACCGAAATCTTTTGTCAACTATCAAGTTGATTTTATATAGAGTTATTTGTTGTCTACTTAAAAACCTATCGACTAAAAAATAATAAAAATTACATTATCTTACTAAGTATTTTTCCCTAAACTTTCATTCTATAGCTATTTACTTATATATACTTCATTAAAAAAATTATTTTGATCTCCTTCCATATAAGTCCCGTCAACTCTAGTTTTTTTCTCTTGTTCTCTTCCATTTCGACTATGGCTGTATTGTGTACGGTGGACTCTCGGAAGATTTCGAAGCCAAAATTAAAGGCCTGATGAATTGCGGAATACGTTTTGTTTTCAGAATCTCAAGAGATACGCCTATTACTCAGTATTACACTGAGTTGAAATGGCTCTATCTATCCAATCACCGTCAGTAGTACCTAGATACCTTTCTGTACATGTCATTAGAACGTATCGACCCTAATATATTTTTCACAGCTTACAATTTAAATAAATCCATCCAATCTCGTCCCACCAGATCTCGTACTTCTGACCTCTATCTTCCTCCTCACCGAATTGCTGCGTTTGACAAATTCTATTCGATTCAAGCCGTCTCCCTCTGAAATTCCATCCCTCCTGATATTCACACAATCAGTTTCCTCTTTCAAACCTCTTCTCTTTAAACACACACTCCTTTCTCAATCCGACTGATTACGAAATATACCTAAGAGAACTATTTAAGTACCCCCAGAGACTATTTCCGTTTATTTATGTTAATTTAGTTTCCTTTGTTTGTCTTATATATGTATGTCCGCTTTTCTTTTCTTTTTCACTCTGTATTTTCTTTCTTCTGTATTTTTACTTTTAATTATGTATGATTATAAATATTTAATTTATTTATGACTTCACGGACATGCATTATGTGACTATAATTTGTTCTAAAGGACAAGAGTTTCAGAATAATAAAATGTATCTTCATTTTCATCCTCATCTTATTATAATGCAATTTACAGCTCTTATTATTAATTTACAATTCTTATTATTATTATTTTATTAATGTTATTGTAGCTTCACCTACAGTTAGATAGTACCTCAAGGAAAAATTCATTCGGCAGGAAATAAGTTAAAAATAACGTTTTTTAAAATATTAAAAAGTTTTTTTTTTATTTTATTTTTTTATTTGTATTCGCCTCTACCCTAGAGGGTCATTGGCGGTTTTTCTCAATTTTTATATTTTACTATAGTAATTTGTTTCCAATAAATATTGAAAGAGAATGACGATATTTTCCTCCTTGTCTCCCAAAATATCTTTCAATGTTGTCGATAACTTTAATTGTTGTCTCTTTTTTTTATATTGGGGGCACTCTAATAGTAGATGTTTAACTGTTTGAGGTGTATTGTCACAGTTTTCGCAGGTTGAAGCTTCGAGTCCTCTAAGTAGGTATCCATGTGTGAAAAGACAGTGTCCGATTCGCATCCGGCACAACATTATTTCTTCTCTTCTGGATTTTCTGAAACTTGTGGTCCATGTGTTGTACTCGGTTTTTATTTCGGCTAGTTTGGCTCGTTGTATTTTCCATTGGTCTTCCCATTTTTTAAATAGGTTTTTTCTTGCTTCATGGATCCAATCTTCATGGATCCAAACGGTGATGTGATTTATTGTTGTTATGCCTGATAGCTCTCCCTTTCTCGCCAAATGAGCAGCTTGGTCTGCTTTTTCATTACCCATTATGCCACTATGGGACGGAACCACACATACTGATCTTTTTCTTATTAAAAAGATTCTTTCTTATTAATTTTAAAAAGTTAAAATTTAAACCAAGATAAAATATTTGCTAATTACAACTGCAAATTCACAGTTTACCCTATTTCGAGTAAAAACATTAAATCCCATTCAATGCCCATGCGGAGTTATATTTGTATACCCTTATTTAGTCTAAGGGAATCTCACCCCTTTCAGATTTTATAATACGACCCTAAAATGTACATTGCTGGAGGGGTCCTTGAATTAATTTTAAAAAGGTCTGAGAGACAAAGAGCATTATAAACTAGCTGGATGATTTGAACGGAGTCTGATGGAATCTTTCATCTTATTCATTTCGCCTAATTATATTCTTGGTCTTAACTTATAATTGGGTTGAATGAACTCATTACCAAGGTCTAATACATTTACTTAATTATTTACAATAATTAATTATATGATGTCTATAGTTAATTATAGGTCATCAATGTTAAAAAATTAAAAATAACACTTGCTATAACTTTCTTTTATTACAATTTGTTTTATTACAATTTTTTTTTTACGAGAAGATAAATCTAGAAAAAATTATATTTACAAATAAATTATATTGCCGTTCTGGTCTAACATTTTAACCTTCATCGATGTTAAGAAAAATGAGGTACAGAAACAATGAATAAAGATATAAATTTAACTCTTTCTTTCTACTTATTTTTTTCTCATTTACTAATCTAGTATCTTCTTTTTTCTATTTTCTATTAATTCAATTATTTTCTTTAATATTTATTTTTTGTTATATTACGATCGCCAATGAATTCACATAGTGTGCAATTCATGTATAAATCATATTTATTACTTCATAAGAATGTAGATGCTTTTACTTATTTTCTATATACATTATTATATTTCTTCATAATTTACTTTTCCATGAAGTTTTTCATTGTATCATTTTTATATTTTACGTATACATTTTTTATATATATATGATTAAAAAATGATATTTTTTATCATCCTATAATATTTACATCTTTATATATTGAGGTAAGTTTGTATAGTTTCGAACTTCCCTTGAAATTTTACAATATTTGTTATATTCGGTAATTCTTTTATCTCCATTCTATGATTTTTTTTTTTATTCAGGAAAATTGATTGTGAAAACGGGAATAAAGAGAACGTATGAGTCATTGTATGTAGTTTTATTGCTCCGTACTGATGATTATGGTAATTTATTTTAAAAATTTTTATTGAAATGATTAGCTTTTTTAAGACGTTATTCTGTCGAATCATAAATCCACGTTTTGGATTTGCTGATATGGGTTTGCTTATATTGAGTATTTGGTTTCTGTTTGCTTTAACTTATTTTCATTTTACGAGTTTGTTTGTCTTCCATATAAACTGATGAATATGTGTAGAATTACATTTTTAAATAAATAGTCCCTGGTATAGTCACTTATTTTTTAATCAAATTATTAACACCCGCATAAAACTTCGTGAATAGCTTCATCTCATCCTAAAAATATTTTATTTTCGAAAATTCTCGTAATTTGGGCGTTTTCAACCTGGAGAACGACAAACTTTATCGATTAAATAAGGTACTAAAAAATTCATGAATACCCATTTGCTTTCCACTTGAGTCGTATTATAATACGATCACAAAATCGAAAAGTGGCTTACAAAGATATGGGCTGTTTGGTGTTAACCTTTCACCCCTAAAATAAGGAGTTATAAGATATTGGCCGAACGGCCCAATATTTTTGTATACCACCTGTTTTTTTATAATTTTTGTGATCATATTATCTTAAGATTCTAGTGGAAAGCAAGTGGGTATTCATGAGTTTTCAGTATCAAATTAAATAGAAAAAATTTGCCGAACTCTAGAATCGTCCAAATTTCGAGATTTTCGTAAATACGTCGAGATCGTCGTTTTAGACGGATGTTAATAATTTTATAAAAATGAGTCTATACCACGGACTGATAGTAAATGAATTTATATTATCCGAGCGACCATTACCGGGTTATGATTGGTGTTAAAACTGTAGCATTCAAATTGCAGCAGTAGTCTCGGGATTGTGAATGTAATGTACCGATCACAAAATGAATAGTATTGATCTTTGCTGTATTATTTCCGAAACTGGTTAAATTTGATAAAATTTCTAATACATGTTGTATCGATAGAAAAACAAAAATTGTTAAATATGATAGTCGAAGTGAAGTGACATTAAAGAGGGAAATCAATTTTTCATAACACGTCGGAGAAAAATTAAAACAATCAATTTCTTTTCACATTTTTACTCAATAGATACAATAGAAAAGTTCTGCGGACCCACTTGGCAAACATACTTTAAAACAATTTAATGATGAGAAGTTTTACAAATAATGATTCAAAAAATTGATTAGATTTTTCTAATATAAAAATATTCGCCTACCTGCAAGTAGCGCCATTTTTGCACTGGTTGGTGTCAGATTGGCACAAAGGGCCCTTCATGCAGTTTGGTCCAGAAAATCCAGGAAAACATTCGCAGTAGAAGTTCCTGAAATACAAATGAATGTTATTATCAACCCAACTTTTGATCTAAAATTTATAAAATTAAAACTACATAAATAAACCGAATGACAACGATTATTTATCGTTAAAACAGTACATACAACGTATACAATGGAAATTCACCTAAAAGGGATGTTTCCCTTTATAAAATGAATTAAAGGATGTTAATATAATGAAATAATATGAATATAATTTAATTTAAATTTATTCCCGTCACTCAATGAATTAAAGCCGATATCCGCCGCAATATATATTTAAGAGAGATAGAATATTTATTTGAGAATACAACAAAATACAACAGAAAAAGTGAGTTTTACTTCAAACATCTAATAAAAAAATTTTCAGGTCCTATTTCTGAATCAGTAGTCTTTTCCCTAATACTTAAATTAGGACTATTACCGATAAGAAACAATTTTTTTTTTTAATGACTAATCTGAAATAAAAAATATAAATTATTTTTATAAAATAAATAAATATAAATTAAGCAAAGTGACATTGTTTTGTTTTATTAGTATTTTTTTTTTCGAGTTCACTTAAGATCAAATGAAACATAATTTATAATAATTGTAAAATAAACGACTTATATATATATACATAATAAACAAAGTGTTTATATTGGAATATAAAATAAATTTATTTTATTTAATAATATTAAGCTATGTCATAATCACGGACAGCGATAATAGTGATAAAAGAGAACATTTACACCATACTTATATAAAAAATAAATACATCCAGTTGGGGAAGTAATAAATCACTATGAACAATAACAAAAATGTATCAGATTTATCGTAATAAAATCCTCTGGCAAGTATATGAACTAAAGAAATAATAATTTAAAACAATTAAAATCACCAATAGTACAGTAAAAAATATATTACTAACTATTTGGCAGGAGCAGATCAAGGATTTAGTTTCAGAGAGATATATTTTTTTTTCAGGTTAATATTCCATAAGTGGGCTTCTTGGAGTAGTCTTCCTTCAGGCATTCTTATATGGAAAATTAGAAAAAGAAGAAGACGAAGAAGACCAAAGAAGATCTGGGATAACGAAGTGTAGGAATCCATGGTGGGTCATGGTCTAAGGGAAGAATGGACCTCAGATAGGACATTATGGAAAGAAGCCATCAAATCACTTTCGGTTAAGAAAACCCACTATTAGTGGAAATTCCTAATAAATAAAAGATTTTATTTCAGTAATTAAAAATAAACAATTAACTAAGAAAGAATTACATAAAAAATATCGGCAATTATAGGAACGATAATGCATTTAGCAAACAACTATTAATCTCTTATATGTTCTCTTGATACACTTTTACATTTGGTAATTATATATGTATCATAATTTAAAAATAGTTTTGTTTATTATTGTTTTAATATTTAGCTCACATAAACAAGCAATGAAGGAAAATTTGTCGCTACGCGCCGAAAGCTACCCCTCCCACATTTATGATAACATACATTATTTACGTATATACATACGTAATAATACAACAATATTTGTTATAAATGTGTCAGAACTATTAGTATTTTATATTACTATATTCACATTTACGGTTTACGCTTAATATCATATAATTTCGAAACAATAATAGCCCTTATTAATTATATTTTTGTCTGGTACTCTTTTGAAAATTTACCAAAACAAGCAACACACCGTTTGTTCATTTTAAATTTATATAGTAAAATAAAATTTATATCGTTTTAAACTTCATATATACTTATACGTTGGAGACTCCTGGTTTAGTTGTTTGGATTTTTCCATTTATAACGTAATGGCCTTTTAAGACTACAACTTATGTCTCTTTTGTAGCTTTATGCTTATTTCAGTTATATACACACAATTTTTCTTAGAATCCAATTAATCTTCAAAGTTTGCACGTGTCCACTAATTGGAGGATAAAAAACCACCTGAAGAAGTACTTTCTTGTATTAAATTCTAGAGTGGTTCTCTCATTTAATAAAAGTTAGCTCGCAAACAGTAAATTCTAGAGCCAACCATTGCAACCTCGGAAGAATTTTTAATATGATATAATCAGAATGGCCAACCTTTAAAAGAAAAGATACTAATATTATTATGAAAGAACGCGAAGCCCCAAATGCAACAAATAATAAAAGTTTTCCAAGTTTGAAAAAAAAGTTGGACCAATATAGTAATTACATATTGTTTACCAATCTATAATTGAATTACATTCTGTCTCACCAACAGAAAATTACAGCAGTGTCGAAAGAGCACATTTACCTAAGATCACTTAATATTTATAAATTTTATCGATTCCCTACTTCATACTTTAATATTAGTGTGCATTTTTACAAATTGTATTGTTTATACAGTTGTAAATTTCATTAAATAAATAAATGGGTCTTTTATTTTATTTTTTTATTGCGTATCACTACAGTCGGTTACACTGAAGGGCATTGTTACTAGGGCTATAGTATTCATTCACACAATTTGTACATAAGAAAGGAAAATAAATATAAATAACCAAAGTAAGAATATGAATATATATATATATATATATATATATATATATATATATATATATATATATATATATATATATATATATATATATATATATATATATATATATATATATATATAAAGATAAAGTAATAAATAAATAAAATAAAATAATATTTTCTAATTTAAAATTTATTGTTAACGATTCGGTGAATCTTCTCCACCTTCAAAATATTACTTTTTTCTTATTCATGTAATCCTAGAAGTTTACCAGCCTTTGTCATTAGTTCTATTTATAAATGCCAAGTGACCCTAGATATTATGGCTAGATAACATGGCTTCCTACTATTTTTTTTTACTAGTTTATTAAAAAAATATTACAATTTGTCCCAAAGAACATTTATAATAGTGATCAGAGATCACATTCACACTCTATGTACAATAACAAAAAATAAATTATACAGAAATATAATGTATATATACAATAAATAAGAATAAAATAACCTAAAAATAAATAAATAAAAAGTAAAATAAATAAATAAATAATAATAATAAAAAAACATACATACCTTCCTACTAAATTATGAATATATAATGTGAATGACTGAATATGGATGGAAAGTGGTGAACTTCTGAGACTATCTAAAGAAGAAAAAGTTTCTGTAAGTTTCTGAAGGTGGGGAGTGATCGCCGAAACGTTAACAATGAATTTTATTTTATTATTTATTATAATATTTTCAACTGTATAAAAAATACACCTAGTAAATTCGTACAATGGATATAATGGCTTGAAACACATGTTGAGAAACTACCCACTGGTAGAACTCTAACTAAATACATTTTCAATTACAAAATAAGAAACAGAAAATGGACATTTGTTATAAATGGCAAATGACCTTCGATATTTTCAACATGACTTCTAATTAAACTTAGTTAAAATTGTTCTGAAGGTGTAATTGAATTATTAATCAAATTAATAAACACATCAGAACGTAAAAAAAAAAAAAATCATGCCGGTATATTATAGAAGGTGGTTCTACCAAATTATTTAAAGGCAAAAAGGTTTTTCCTCTTTAACGATAGCCTTCCGGCTTGAACCACGCCCACGAAGCTCTTCCTTGTTTTTTTCCCATTTTTTCCTCAATATGTATTTGCATGTGCTTTTAGATAGACACTAAAAATCCGGTAGTGTATTGAATGATGATATTCAAATCTATCAATCAATAATCATAGTAATGCAAATAATGTTAAAAATATTTAAAAAATAGATTACCGATAAATATTTGTTTGAAATAAATTAGCATAATTTTTGTACTCATTAATTACTCATAACTGAACTGTTAACTACTAAAGACGAACTCTCATTTGCGACCCAGTTGAACAAGCCACCGCAAGTCATTAAGGGAAGAGCTGTTGCTTAGGAAGTGCTCCATGAAGAAGAAACCACGCGTCAGAGATTGTGTTAACTCGTTAGAGTTGCTGGACTCTGTCGCCTCATTAGGGGGTTCAATAGGGCTTCTCTCGGGCTTAAAATTTACATTCACGAGCTTCGTAAAACTATTTTTTTTCTATACAAATGTATAAGTTGGGTATATATATATATATATATATATATATATATATATATATATATATATATATATATATATATATATATATATATATATATATATATATATGTATGTATGTATGTATGTATGTATGTATGTATGTATGTATGTATGTATATATATTAGAATTTTAAATTATACTACCTCTGATAGCAAGAGTTGTCATAACATTGGACAGAGTTCTCTAAAAATTGTGGTATTTTATTTATTCTTGACGTGACGGTCCTGCAAGAATCTGACCTTCTGTTATAATCTTCATCCTCCTAAGCATTCGCTATCTTCGGACTCCCATCCTTATGATGATATTCTACACCTATCATCGCAGACGTGGACTTCCTCTATCCCGCCTTAAACCAGATCGATCCTCCAACAAGCGTTTAAAATTGCGTGTCTGGACATACCTGCCATATAACCTAACCTCCTTTTCTTGCTCCTCACAATTGAGAAAAATAAGGAATGACATATATACCGTTTAATTCTACATTGGTTCGAATTTTACACTGACCATGCTGACATACAAGACCTATAACGAAGCGAACAATATTTTTCGTTTCTTTAGCCATATAAATCACCGAAGTTTTATAACCAAAGGTGATGACGAGTCTTATGATTTTACCATACACCGTGAGGTTTTAATGTGAAAAAAAGGATCTATAATTCAGTATTCTTCACATTGAAAATGAGCATCTATAGCCAGCAAGCATCAATTCTTCCACTATTTCATTATTTTGAGTAATTAGTACACTCAAATACTTGATGGTTTTGACCACTTCTAGAGTGTAGTTTCCTATTCATATGCGTTCATCTGTTCCTTTTGGCTTTCTTGGAGTATGCAAGTAAACAGTCTTCTCTTGATTTATTTGTAGCCCTATTTTCTTTGCTACGATTTAAAATTTTTCAAGTGCTCCTGCTATTGCTGTTTTATTTTTTGCCATTATTACGACATCATCAGCATAACATAAATGCTGCGTCATCCTGCCATAAATATTGCAACCTGGATATATCCGTTTTGTCCTTATTGTATAATCTGAAACAATATTAAATAGAAAAGAGGATAAAGGATCACCTTTCCAAAGCCCCGATCTAAAGTAATCATAGTAATATTATATTTCAATAACAACTATAGCCAATCCATTTGCTTGTGATAGATGAATGTATAGCAACTTCCTCAATCCATGAACCTATCCCAATGGGTAGTACTAAGCTTGGATAGCCTCCAATGTGGCCAGCACTATATTGCTGTAGTGTAATCAAAGCAGGGTGCTAATTAAACCAGCAATAGTGGAGCTGGATATGGAACTGTCAATAGCAACCTATTTCAGGGGAATTGTGTACAGTGAAATTAGCATCATTCTAAACCAAAGGGCCTGTTTTAAGATATGAGAAAATGGCACCTGGCCTCGTTGCATTGAACATTCTGAAATCCGTGCGAGAGCGGAAGTTATCGTGGATGAAGTCGAATCAGATGAACAACGGTTCTTTCATTTATATATTAATTGTTTTTAAGGAAGGAGATGGTCCGGTGTGATGTAATAATAATACTAAAATAGTGAAGCACTATTATATTTCAAGCCAATGTTTAGACCCAATAAAAATGAAATAATTTGGAATGAAATAGTTTTTTTTTTTTACTATTTTAGTATTTTTATTATCTCCATCTAGGACTATCTCCTTCGTCAATAATATACAACCGTTGACCATCAAGTATTCATTAATTATTTTTTAGTTTATCACTACACAGCAAGTCCCGCAAGTAGAGGGAATATTTAGAGCAGTGATATCAGACCTAAAGAGCAACAAAAAACTTAATACAAAGATTGGTTCTATTTCTGGAAGACAGGTAGTAATTTTAGGTTCTGTTTTTGTAATTGTGTAGCTATAAGAAAGCTACAACTAAAGAAATACTTTTTAATAATTTAAGTATTTTAAATATGGTATGAATGTGCCCTACAGCTTTAATAATTAGTACCCTCAAGGTAAAATGTATTATATCTAGTTTTTCCAAATGCGAGACCGAGACGAGTGTTGGTATTGCAAACTCAGTCTTGTTCATAGTCTTGGTTTTGCGCAAGAGTCTCGCAACAGTCTTGCAGTTACTTATTAGTTTATTACTATAGAGATAGTACTGTAATTTTTTAGATAGGAAAAACCTAACTAAGCCCGAATGAAAAATTAGAAGAGTTAAATGCAAAAGTATGTTGGTTATACCAATTATTAACATATAGTAACTAAGATTGTCAAGTATTAGTAACTATTTTGCCTTAATTTTTATTTAAAAAATGGATTTTTTTTACCAGTCCTGGTCTTGGTCTTGCAATAGTTAGGCGGCCTTGGTCTTGGTCTTGCAAAGTGCAACACTAAGGGTGCAGTGTACTATTATGGTGGGCGGAGGCTTCTCTAGAGATTTTTTTAAATAATAATTTTCTAATATTTTTCATATAAAGTCTTTTTCACCCAGATCTCTATCATAGGAATTGTTCCGTAATAGCAAGTGACAAAATGAATATTTTAAGTTCTAAGATTTTCTTTTTTATGGAAATAGTTAAAGCAATCAGCAAGTTGCTTTATTATATAACTGTGTTAAAAACGACAGAATCCTTGAGGAATTAGAGGTGACATCAATCCGTGGCATCCTGGAAGAGAAGCAGTTGAAATGGTTCGGGCACATCTGCAGAGTGGACGCCCTTGGACACCCGAGAGGCCAAGTGGTTTATGGAAGCTAGGCCGGAAGGCAGACGACCTCGTGGCAGGCTGAGACACACTTACCACGATTACATTGGAAAAGTAGGAACAGCAAGAGGACGCACCATACTGGAGATGAGAAGACTAGCCAGGGGCAGAGACCAGTGGGCAAGATGGGCTGGGACTGCAGCTCCACGCTTAACGGCACAAATGAGCTATAGAAAGAAGAAGATTATTAAGTCTAATGTTTATTTTTATTACTTTTTTTTAGAACATTTTTATTCTTTTTTTTATTTATTTTAATTTTATTATTACTATTATTTATATTTTCTTCCCTCATTATGATATTTTATTTTGTTCTTGCTTCGCTGTATGTTATTTCGAAATTAGCTTATTTATTTTTTGATTTTGTAAATATGGTGTGAATGTACTCTGATTAATTGTAACATTTATCAATAAACAAGTAATCTAAAAAAAAAAAAAAACTAGCTATGGGAAATCGTGAAGTCCGGTTTCCATCAGTAGTTTGGCGCTAATTGCCTATTTCTCTAATAAAACAGTGCAATTCGTTTCTATATGCTCATCAGTTTCAGAGACACAGGGACATAGGTGGTCAATGTCTTTCCCAGGCATGAAGCTTGGCGCGAACACCTCTTCCCTCCCCCCCCCCCATCCCCTCCCCATGCCCTGCGAGGAATTGTGATACCTAATAATTAGGGAGCACCCATTTCGCTTTCCTCCAATAAAAATCCACCCTATTTATAGACCATTCTGTATTATATATTTATATATTTTATAATATAAATAATATTTTAACTAATGAATGATTGTTCAAGGAGAACTGAGGCACAATCTAGACGTACAAATATGACGATTTAATTTCAGCCTTCGTCATTTGACATTTTACTTGGTGACGGATTTGCATTATTAATTCAAACCTTTCAAACTGAGGTGCAATAATTTGATGAAAGGTTTGTAAGAACAATAAAAAATCACATTGAAACTAATGTATAATTGGTTGAAAATTGTTTGGAATCGATTATACCAGCTTTAAAACGACGCAATAACATCTTGTTTTATTTATTTTCACTTCTGAATATTTCTGAAACACATTAACTTAAATATATCTATCTCTGAATATTCTATTGATTTTCATTTACAAAATGTATTTGTTTAATTTACTTAACCACTAGAGTTATTCATTAATATAATTTATTATTAATAAAATATAATTGTTTTACCGATATTAGCATCCGTTGCACATATCATCTTTTTATTGCACAGTAATTTGAGATTATTGCATGTTGTGTTGTAATAATGCTATTCCTATATGTATTTACAGCATTAATTTACAGCACGGATTGTTTAGATCATGTCATATTATCTATGGCATGATCTAAATAATTTTAGACCTAGAACACGACTATATAACCCAAAAAATAACCTAAACAATAAAATTTCAATCTCTCTTATTATACTTGCAAAATGAAGCAAAATACTTTGATCAAGCGACTGAAAATAATCAACTCACTTTTTTTCCAAACCAAAGTAAAAATTAGAAAAAACTAAATACATACACTTTCCTACTCAATCCCATACGGACATACACATAACAAATTTACGGTTTTACAAAAATGATGCACTTTTTAAAACTACAATCATTTCAACCCAAAGTTTTAATCCTAATAACAGTAGCTTCTTGGTTCGTAAACAACAAAACTTTACATACCGACTTATGAAACTATTGATCAAGACATATGTACTTTCTACTCCCCATGACATATTGGACTACACTGACATGACAACGACATGGCTACAGCTGACATGCTCTTCAGAAAGCGACTGAAGAGGAGCTGGATGAATTATCTTCTTTTCAGAATTAAGGAAACAAACCAAGACCAGGAAGAGGTGCTACTGGGTACTATTTTCCTTGTGCCTAAAATGCCACTTTTCTCAAAAGTAACAACACATATCCTAATTGTCAAGATTATGACAGGTGTGGATGAAGATATGAAGACAAAAAATATATATATATCTCAAACTCTAATAAAATTCTTAACATTATTTTCAACTATTTATGAATAATAAAATCCACAATTTTTATTGGACTATAAACATCGGTGAAACTCTTAGACAGTTAAGGCTACGGTATCTAAACACATAAAATTTTAAAACATGAATTTTATATCGCCTTTATCATATAAAAATATTTTCATATAATGTGTTAAATATATTTTTATATACGAATATTTTCACATAAAATTTTTATATCCAATTTCCTAAATAAAAACGTGTATATGGTACTTTTAATCAAAACCTTAATTTAGCTTGGTTAATATAAAATAAAATGAACAGAAATGTATGACTAACGTTTGACTGATTTTTGAGTTGAAACTAGTTTATTGAATAGTATAGCATTCTGTTATAGGATAAATATAAATAAAATAAACTTTAAGATAAAGTAAAATAGTATCTTAAACTCAGACATTCAAATCCATGAAATAAAATCTATGAAATGGAATAGTGTAATAAAAATATTTACGATTTATATAGAATAAAGGAGTCGTAATCCTATCTCTAGTGTGTTTTACGATATTATATTGATGCAAAAAATAAAATAAAATAATTTGAGTAGTAGAAATCTGTTATCCGTTAACCAGTATAGGTAAAGAAAACTTTTTATAATGAATAAATGTATTAATTAGATGGTTTTTTTTTTACATACAATTTTAAGGTCAAAACCGGAGAGAGGGGGGGGGGACAGAGTACAATGTAATCGCACCAGGTGCCACTTATGGGTAAAAAAGTCCATTGAAATCTTTCATGATATAATCCATCAAAAATCTATTTGTCTGACAATTTGATCAAAAATTAAAGAAATTGAAATTTCAAACGATTTTGTCTCAATGGTCTAGTGTGTATCAAATTAAAAAACATTTTATCATATAGTAAAATTTTATAATATAGGTGAAATGGGATGTACCTTCATTTTTATTATGATATGGTACACATGTTTATTGGGTATTTGAAAGAACAAGTGGACTGTATGAAATTGATTATAATTATATTTAAACAGTATATAAAGATGGGGGTTTGGCGTATAATGGTTCTACAATTGTTTACTTGATGTGGCTGGTACGGTGATCGGTATCGGTGGTCGGTATCGGTGGTCGGCCGGCTGCTACACTTCTCACCTCCATGTGTCCGGTAGGTCTCAGTGTTCTACTCCATGCGGTAGTCTTGAACAGGGAAGAGAAGTCGTCTTCTTCTCGCGTGGGTTTAGTCGCCCATTTTCTCCTTCTACTACTACTAGATTTTTGTGCAGACTGCGCCACCGTCGCGACAGTGTTACCTAGTTTGTTGGTCTTTTACATCTACCCCATGAGGGGGGGGGGGGGGGAGTAACATCAATTTAGGGTGATCAACCCTAAACAAACCGCCCACCTAAATTATACTTAATAATTTAAAAATAAAGAAAAATACATCTGTATGGTACCTTGGTGAGCTTCAATCAAGAGAAAACAGAAACAAATATTTATAGAAGAAATTAATAAATATTTTTCTAAATAAATTGATTACTTGCAAGGCATTGAATATAAGCAATGAATAAAGTAGAGATAGAAAAAAAAAATAAATACGACTCCTTGAATAAGTGACATTAACAGACTAGAAAAGATTAATGGAGTCCTCAATCCTCTGAGTGATCTTCCATCTCAGAGGTAGAAAAATAAAAATTTGTTTAAAGCTCTGTTTTAGGAATGTTCCTGAGATAGATTAACTTACCATAGAGAAACTTACTGGAAATACTATGTAGTACTTTCTATCAGTGAATTTACCCTTTGTTTTTAGCAAATGGTTTGACTGATTGCAGATTACAAGCAAATGAATTTAGATGATCCAGTACTGTTCATTATCCAAATCTTAGGTTTGTTGAAGTTTGGGAGAGACTATACTACAGAATTATTGATCCATAAAAACTTATTAAGGAGTTGAGGTGGGTATTTAATTACTTGTATCTTGGTATATTAAGGTTTGCTGTTTGGAGTCATATATAAAATGACAAACAAAGAAACTGTATCACATGAGTTACCAATTAAAATAGCTAAACAAAAGTTTACATATACCGCCCACCCTGCAAAGACCATGGGAACAAAAAGGTATGTGGAATAATAAGTTGCTGTGGAACTTCCTAAGTGTTAGGAATTGAGAAATTTAAGGAAAAGCCCTTGAACCCTTATTGCACAAAATACTGAGCTACCAGAGTAGAAATCAAAACTGAGGTGGAAGACCGGAGACTAATTCAATGATGGATTGCAAAATGGTTGAGCAAAGATGTTGGTACTAAAACTAAATATTTAACATTGCGTGAAATTGAAGAATAAAGTGCTCTGATTATAAACTACAATGAACGCTCTGAAAGCATGATAGACATAAATGAAGTTTTCCAACACTTTGATTCCCTTGAAACAATTGGTTCTAACTAGGTTGGAAGTTTCTAACAATTAATGAATTATCTATTTTCTAAGGCAGGTTCTACTGAAGGAATGTAGAGCTGATATTGTAGAACTGCCGCAATCCGAGGATCATGTATCCGCCATCTTGGTTATAACACAAGAGTTGTGGGCGGATACATGAAGGAAATAAGATGACATCGGTATCTCCCACCCGAAGTAAATATATAATCTCCCTAAGAAGCTGTAGAGCTTGCTGCAGAGTAATGTATCTAGCTGGAGGTAAACTGTATTCAGTTGAGTATTTCTCAAAGCTGGATTGCGATTCTGCCTTATTCCGCCTATGTGAGTATCTTGTAATAATGTAGTTCACTGTTTTAGGACTTGACGCGGCTGGGCGATCATGTATTTTCAATTGAGGCTTAGGGAGCCTGGGAGAAAAATATTCATGTCGTACTAACGACATCTTGGAAGTGTGACAACGTTGTTTATCTTCAATGAAAGAAGATGGCTCAAGTGAAATGTCACTAAACACATAAGCATCTGATGCTACTGAAGGAACTGTAATTTCCAACGGAATATCCTCGGGTTGATTGAAATCTGACGCGGCTGGTCGATTAGATTTCTTGGAATGGGACTCATGGTGCCCAGCTTGTAAAGACTGGTCGACTAGTGACCTCGTGGAGGCACGATGTAGTCGACGCTCAGCTGGAGGCAACGAAATGTCGCTGGGTTCATCAGGATCTGAAGGGGCTGGGCATTCAGAACCTGTATAAAGTGGCTCATGGAGCGCTGTTGACCTCTTGGAGGTTTTCTGCTGATTTGAGTAATCTCGGACACAATGGTTTTCCAACAAAGTGTCGCTGGTTATATGCCTTTCTGGCGCAGCTGGGCGCTCAGCAACAAAATTGCGTTCTGAATTGTTTGCCTCTGAGGCACTTGCAGATGAACTGAATTGGCAGTGTGAGTTGATGGCCTTAGATGTAGGGTAGGTAAAAGATGAAGTGGTCACGGTTGAATGAAATGCTGAACCGGGATGAGAGACTGTTGCTTGTCTTTGTTGTGATGCCTTTGTGTGTTGGACCCAGAGAAGAGTGGCACTTGCTTCAATTATCTCATTCTCCAAAGCAGAGTAGCGATCCATCCACGAGTTAGATGGGAAATCGTCTGATTCACCTATCAGCACTTGCAATTCAGCTCTCTCATACCACGTGACCTGGAATCTTGACCAATATGATTCGGCGACAACTAATTTGGCCTTAAATACAAAGAAGGCTCGACCAACAAGATTCGCTTCGTTGACTTTAGAAATCCCTTGGATGCCAAGTTCAAATTCAGTAAGCATGCGCTCAAGGGTGATAGCCTTCAAGGCGTGTTCCTTCCTAATAGCTGAGATAGGTTCTGAAGATTCACCGTCTCCAGGAGAATTCTTATTTTCATGTTGTTTAGACATGATGAGAATAAAGAAAAAAAAGTGTTTAGATAAGCAAACTCAGTCAATTTGACAATATGAAAGAATAAGCAACCTACCGGACAGAAGGTGAGACCACAAAGGAAAAGCTGGCCGACACAAAAGAAGAGAGAAATCACAAATTGATGACTCACCAATAGCACAACCACATCGAAAAAGTCTACTAAGAATTAGAAAGAATGCATCACGAAGAATAAATTGTAACATGCTCATACACACAAAGAATTAAAGTAAACAAAAGACTATCACAAAATTATGTTGGAAACGAACAAAGAAAAGCTGTGAAGTCACAAGAAATAGTACACGGTGACATCACAGGTGTGGTAGCTCTTGACTAAGAATACTAGAGAGGCATACTACCTTTT